AAACTCACATAAATTTCGTTGTGGTCAAAACGCTTCTTCAGGTTCTCGATGAAGGATTCTTCGGTCAGTGGTTCCAGCAGCACCATATCCCCCACTCCTATCATGTTGTCCAGAAGGGATGTCTTCACCTCCATCTTGGACATCTTTGTCCCCTGAAAGAACCAAACACACAATTAAAACTAAATAAAGCAGAAAAGCAATACTCACACCCTGCAGCTACCTTTTTAGACCTTATACCATCAACTATGGCATTAACCTGCTTATCGCGGCGCAACAGAGACCACCTGTAATTATCTAAACTACTATTCAACAGCAGCAACGGATTTGTAACTGTCTGAGACTGCAATGGCTGTTTTAGTTCTGAACGCAGATGAAAACAGTGTCAACAGGGGGATGTTTGCACAAGTAGGGGTCAGGCATGTTTGAGAACCCTTGGTGTGCGCCTGATGAGACTCTCTGCTGTTCAGAATTGGAAACCGTGGGCACCGTGACGGAGTTATTTATCCCGATCTCCAGCTCTGACAGAGAGACTCCAGCAATGGAGGAGAATTCCATCACCATTTCTCCAAGATATAGCAAAATCATTGAGGTGTTTTTTTTCTAAATGATCTAAACATCTCCGTTTATAGCTACTTAAGAGACCAACATCAATGACCATGCTGCACACTCCACAGAATTACGGCGCAGGCCCAGTGCCGTTTCGCTCCTGTATCAGAGGATGAGGGAGTGCACCCTGGGCAATCCATGTAGGATGCAGACCAGGACAGCTCCTGTTCCGTCCCAGGTGACTGAGCAGCAGGCAGAAACGGCAGCCCCTTCCCCACATGACCTCAGAATTCTAACCCTCCTGGTTTAGCATCTGGGACTGAGCAAGCCCTGCAGCCCCTTCATTCCATCACACGGTGCTCTGTGCTCGTCTCTCTGTTCTGAACACTGTGGATGATTTCTGAATCAGCGCTCTTCAGTCTCCCCTATAAAAGTGGACACTGTAACAGATAACAGACAGGGATGCAGGAAGGAGGAGCCCATCATTACCCAGTAGAGCAGTATTGTGCATTGAAAGGTCCTGGGGGGGGATAGATTACCTGTGCCAATGGGAGTAACTGAGCCACAGAAATCACAGTGCTTTTGTGTCTCTAACAGGTGTCCTTCTGTTAATGGGAAAACATACTACTACTCAGGGAGGGCTGGACTTCTCATCAAGAGTATTAGCCAGTTAGGCGTCATAAAACTCCCATATCTGGTTAACGAGCACCTATAGAGCTGCAGAAAC